AAACAAAATGAAACTTTAGTTGTGTTGAAATGAAACTACAATATATACAAAGTGAAACAGAATTAATTACACGGAACGAGTGTCGTATCTTTTCATAAAAAGAAACGATACCGTTTTGAACCATGGTCCACACAGCTATGGTCGTTGTGAGGTCTACAGTAAAATTTGCCTCCATCACCATGGCCAAGAACTTGAAGAACACCATAATTAAGATAAGTTTATTGGACTTTTTTATTTGAAACGATGAAAATTTTATCCCTCAAAGATAACACAATAAAACCCAATATTTACACTAAATAAAACATATCAAAAAGACCAAAACCCACTACAATAGTAATTAGGAATACTTAATTAAACCTAGCAGAATTATAAGAATATGCAGATAAGCCCAAACTAGCTACCTAGGGTGGTATTTATATATCAGGATATTATATGTTCTTCAATTCATCATTTTCCTCATATTATTATTTTTATGTTTTTACCTTATCTTTTTTTATTATAATTCCCCAAAAGTTTTGTAATTGCGAAAAATGGCTTTTTTCATAATGGGCATTGTTTTGTTTTTGTTTTTGTTTTAGTCTTTTATACTGGACCGACAAAGTGGGCTCCTTTTTTCTTCTTTTTATTTATTAAAATGGGCATTGCTGCCCCCTTCTGATAACGAACCGCCACTATGGCCTTTTGTAGTCTGCTAAAAAATGTCATTCTCACTTTTCTGTATTGTAATTGTAATGTATTATACATAAACTACCTCTATTTTGAATTTATGAATTAATTTTTTTATCAGCCACTAATATACATGTTCATTTTTAGTGTCCTGCACATTCATTTTTTGAATATTTACTTCTTTTTTTTTTTGGTATTGTAAGTTTAATTTTAATATACTAACTAAAAAAAAATGAGCATTCAGTAAATTAAAAATAAAATAAACATTTAGTATACTAAAAATGAACCAATACCACTATATCAGTAGTCCACTTTATAATATGGACGATCATGGTTCAGAGTATAACTAGTCAACCAAAAGGGCATGTACACATTGACAAGCTCAAGAAAGTAACTGGATCAAGAAAGTTCAAGAATGATACCTAGTACGAAACAACTTAGGAGTTTAATAGAGTAATTATACTAAAAATGATACTTTAAAGTTACTATAATGAAACTAGTGTGTACGGAAAATGAAACTAAAAAACAGAGCATATTATTGTCAAATGAAACTAGTGTGCATAAAAATGAAACTAAAATCGAGAGGCATACAATAACATATATTGTCAAATGGCCTGAAGTGCAATTAAAGTAATACTTCAACGTTATTATAATTAAACTAGTGTATGTAAAAAAAAACAAAAAAAAAAACAAAAAAAAAAACAAAAAAAAAAACTCAAGCAATAATGTATATTAGCAAATGAAAGTATAGTAGAATTAAAATGATACTTTAGTATTGTTAAAATGAAACTAGTGTACATGTGGAGGGAAAATGAAACTAAAAAACATAACAATATTATCAAATGAAACTGAAGTGTAATTAAAATGATACATACTTCATGGTCCACGTTGCTGCATAGACCATGGTCCACTGTAAAATTTGCGGAGTTTAATAGAGTTGGGCTTATTATTCATAATGTAATAAGGATTGAACTTATTATCATAGTGTAGTAGGATTTGACTCCTTATTCCCAATGTAACAATGACCTCTAATATAAGGCAGTCTCGTATTTCTATTCCTCTCATCGTCCAAAATATGTATAAATAGACGCCCATATATACATGGGAGAAAGCAAATTTCACTATTCACAAGCAATATCTAGTATTACAATACTCATATTTTCTCTATATTTTCAATATTCTCATATACTCGTTATTTCAACGATTGTGTTGGCCCGCCGTTGATTGCCCAAAATTAATAAAACCAACAAATATTAATTTGTTAATTTTACAATTAATTTGTTTAATATTAAAATCAATTAGGAAAAACTCTAAAAATATTGAAATATTTTCAAAATAAAAAATTTTAAACCCTGTTTTTTTTTTCGAATAACCTTGTGAACATTATTATATTTTTTTTTTTATAAAATAGAAAATTTTGTAATAGTTAGTGAGAGTATTATTATAGTAATAAAGATGCAAGGAAATGTTACAATTTAATGCAACTTTTATATACCAAAACAAAAAGAGTACATGATGTCATTTATTTAGCCAAATCCCTCTGATTATAAGAGTATTTTCACCATTTTATATTGAGAAAAGAATTAAATAAACCCTCCAATTTTATACAAAAACGTAATTAGGTGTTCGAATTTTTGAAAGGTGCAATTAAATCTTATTGAGTTGAAGAGCTTTTTGTATTTTTGTTCCCACGACTATAGTGGCACTATCAGAATTGATCCGGGACTTTTAAACCTTGCAATTTTAGTCCATGGTTGCAAAAATGGTCCTTCCAGCCAATTTCCAGTCAAAATTTCACCAGAGAAAAAAAATTCTCAATTTCAGTCAGAGATAAAATAGACATTTACATTGACCTTGCAATCTCGAACCACTGTTGACCTCTTATTCTAACTAAAGTGCGAAAAAATCAAAAAAAAAAAAAAAAAAAAACAATTGCCAAAAACGAACCCTAATTTGCTATCATCTCATCAACAATGTAGACATTATGTTTTCCTTCAAAAAGAAAGAAGATGAAGATCGGCAATGGATGGCGTGTTGACGATAGCAATTGATGTTTTCCTCTTGTTCGCAGATGAGTTGATGAGATGAGAGCAGATTAGGGTTTGTCTCTGGCAATTGAGTTTTTATTGTTTGATTTTTTCGCACTTTGGTCGAATAAGAGGTCAACAACAGTCCGAGATTGCAAGGTCAATGTAAATATCTATTTTATCCCTGCTTGAAATTAAAAAAAAAATTTCTCCGGTGAGATTTTGACGAAAAATTAGCTAGAAGGACCATTTTTGCAACAAAAATAATAGTCATGAATTAAAATTACAAGGTTTGAAAGTCACGTATCAATCTTGATAGTGTCAATATAGTCGTGGGATAAAAAATGCAAAAAAACTCCTGAGTTGAATGATTTGGAGACGGTAAAAAAAATTGAAATATTAATGCAATAAATAAAGGAGTGATGTTGATAGCCATTACGTGGCAAGGACATCCACCAAGGGTCCAGCCCAAAAACCCACACGAAAGAAATTTAAGGTGTCAGTTCCTGTCTGTAATCTGTTTGTTCGAGCAAATTATATTAGCGTTTTGTGGAGCAGAATACGAGACAGGTATTTGGCTTTTCGGAGGTGATATATACCAATCTATCAGATCATCTACGCTCCTCCACCTAGTACCTAATCCTCCTCATTGTCTTCGCCTTTATTCTACTTCATGTCATTCACACATCAATTAAACAATTTTAATCAAATAACTCTCCTATAAATAATGATAATAATAAAATAAGTTGCCTGCATGGGTAGCTCAACTGGTCATAGAGGTGAAACTTTGGAAGAATGACCAGGATCGAGTCTCATCAGCGGCAGTGTGGGGGCAATAAAATAAGTTTATAATTGAAGACAGTCGTGTGTGGTTCGAATCCTAAGGCATAAGGATGTTAGAATTTCTGAATTGGATCTCTTGTGCGCACATGCAGATTAAGATCTGATTGATGAGTTGATTTCACGACTCATAATTTACCTCCGAATTGGTTTGACGAAGTTAGGATCACCTAAGTTTAATAATATGTATTTATTAAAGGGAAAATTGTAATTTATGCCCTCACAAATATGCCAATTATCAATGTTACCCCTGAATTATTAGTAGTGTAAATGTTGCCCCTCAATTTTCAAAACGTGACATATATTGCCCCTCCCCTAAATTATTAGTGATGTAAATGTGGTTACCCGTCGTCTTTCTTGTTCGAAGACCATGTTTTTTTCCTCAATTTTTCTTTCTTCGATTGTTCTCCTTCCGTCGACAATAATTTTTCTCCTTCTTCATATTAGGAAAGGGGCAATATATGTCAAGTTTTGAAAATTGAGAGGCAACATTTACACCACTAATAATTCAGGGGTGACATTGATAATTGACATATTTGCGAGGGACATAAATTACAATTTTCCCTTTATTAAAAGCTACAAATTTATATTTTTAATCTTTCAATTATTTTTTACTAGGCGTTTTAGTTCCTTACATTTTATCGTTGCAATATATTACTTTCAAAATTTTTAAATAAATTAAAATTATAATCACTTGAGTAATAAATTCATTCAACTACGTTAGAGTTTTACTATGTACATGGGTATTTTAATAAATTATTATTATTCTTTTTTTTTATAACCTCTTTAGTTTCGGTACGGTATATTATCTACAAACAAGAGAATTGACAACCTCCTTACTTAAATTGTTCTTCTTCAATTCCAGGATGATGGTTTCCCCTATGTGAATATGTTATAATCAAGTTCATTATTTAAATATTACTAAACAAAATTGAAGAGGGCTATAAAGAAAAACAAAGGAAATTACTAAAATGTCCTTTTACTACGTAAAACTATAACGGAGTTTAACAAATTTTTGCTCCATAGACTAATAAAAATCTCATTTGTAGTCCGCACGAGTTTAGCTCAATGATTCATTATGCAGTATTTGGGAGAAGAAATTTTATATGTGATTTTTAGGAGATTGTTTTGCTTAGATGGAAGAGAGATGGTTACTTGGAGGGGAAAAAATGAATAAATGAAAAAAAAAAATTGAAAGAGTTTGTTCTTTTATGGGTCTCACAATAGAAAAAAATAAATTTTAAAAATCATTATTGGTGTGCGAAAGATTGTCCAACGGGCTACGAGCACGTTATTGTGCACTATTTTTTTTCATCTCTTTTCTGTGTGGTTGGCGAAAAACTTAAAACAAAAGAACACAATTGATGAGAAGTTCTAATTTATTTGAAAAGTTATATGAATGTGGAACTAATATTATGTTTGAAAAGAAAAAAATAAAATTTCATTTATAAATAATGATGTGTACAATGTACACAGATCTGTTTGAAATACATGTAAATATGATATTCTTTTGGTTTAGTCTTTTCTACTCCACTATTTATGGGCATTGAATACGACCCTTCAACATCATCATTGTTGGAGTGGGACCCATCTCGTTGCCTTGTCCACCATCCAATTATGTACACCACACGCACGAGTGTCTTTCTCTTATGTCCTTTTTCTACATTCATTTTTGCTTACCCACCCCTACACTTTAAATTCTTTTACTTTTTTATTTCTTTTATAATTAAGTTTCTCAACTTTCACTAAGGGTCCGTTTGGAAAGTAGGAAAATGACTTCTGGAAAATGTTTTTCAGAAAATGAATTATTTTTTGAAAAACATTTTCCTTTCCTGTGTTTGGCTGAATAATGGAAAACTGTCTTTTTGTGTTTGGCTCATTTTCCAGAAAATGTAGAATATAATAATTTTTATTTCAAATTTCATGCAACATAAATTTTGATTGTATTTAATCACAATGTTCTTGCTCTCAATCTATCTTTCTAGTACTCAAAATGTTCTCAATTTATTTCCTCCTCAAGAAATAAACAATTTAGCATTAGAAACTCCAAAAAATAAAAAAAAAATTTAAAAAAAATTATAGCATTGGAAACCAATACTGGTTTCCCTACTGGTTTACGGAAACCAGTTCTCTGGTTTCCGATGTGGAAACCAGAGGAACTGGTTTCCCCAGCCGAAAACCAGTCTGGTTTCCGACTGAGGAAATCAGTGATGAATATCACAACCCGTTGATGAAGCTTTTGTGGTTGTAGAATTTTTGGAGGAGGAGGTGTTGGTGGACTTTTCTCTTCTGAATGTTGAAGGAGGAGGTGGAGGAAGTCTAAAGTAGTGAGCAGCGTGAAATTATAAGATGGAAAATGACTTCCCCCCCAAAAAAGGAAAGTCATTTTCCGAAAATTTTGCTCCATTTTCCATTGACTTGTCTCTATTTTCTTTTGACCATTCAATTTTTTGCCTAGCAAAACACCAAAAACTCGAAAAATGATTTTCATAAATCATTTTTCAGGTTTCCAAACAGAACCTAAATTAATCGAACCCCCATACTTTCATTGGAGCAAGACTTTTAAAGTGATCTTAGAATTATTGAGTTAAACTCGCGGGGTTTTTTTTGCTTTCATCTTCTCCTTTTTATATGAATCCATTCATTTGATAAAATTCATTTCAAATATTTATAATTCTATTTTATATTATTTAATATTAGTAATAAAATTTACATATTTCAAAATAAATTTATTAAATGAAAAGTTTAACTTTAGAATTACAAAAATATTAAAATAGATGTTAAAAAACAAAAAGAAATATTAACTTAACTGATAGATACTCCGTAGTAGAAATGACAAATAAAATAAAATAAAGAGAAAATTAAAAATGGGGCATTAGCTAATTTTAGATTTTTAGGTATTAGTAGTGACCACTTTTTCCTAAAATTTTGTATTAAAGGTTGGTGCAATTTTAGTATTTTTTTCTTGCCCAACCAAAAAGTTGTTCAATCCAACTAAAATGCTTATAATTTTATAGAAGTATAGACCCAGTTTTAAAGAGTTAATTCCAACAATGGTCCTCCGACTATAGTGATTTTTCAAAATTAGTCATCGACTTTTAATTTGGACACTTTAAGTCCCTTGACTTTCAATTTCTTTCTAATTGAGGTCCTTTCGTTAGAATACGGTTTATTAGACTTTAAATGAAGGGGTAAACTCGTCCTTTCACCTGCCTATGTATTATTCTTCGTATTTCTCCCTTCGTATTTCGCTGTTATACCTTGTAAGCATCTCAATAATAAAGGAACGCACACGCAAGTAGTCAGCAAATGGGGAACGACGAGGAACATTTTAGAGTTTCGACTAAGATTATCTTCATATATATTGCGTATACAATGGAGAAATACTAAGAATAATACATATGCATGTGAAATGACGAGTTTACCCCTTCATTTAAAATTCAATTAACCCTATTCTGACGAAAGGACCTCAATTGGAAAGAAATTAAAAGTCAAGGGACCTAAAGTGTCCAAATTAAAAGTCAAGGACTAATTTTGGAAAATCAATATAGTCGGAGGACCATTGCTGGAATTAACTCCAGTTTTAAAACCACCTATGTTTCTCAATAGAGTGTTACTTTTTAGGAAAAATTATATTCTTGGTCCTTAAGCTATAGGGTAATTATAAAATTTATTTTTAAGTGTCGATCGTGTTCACTTTTTGTCCATAAATTATTATTGGCGTTGCACATTTCGTCCTTTTATTAACTTTTCGTCCCTAAGTTATACTAATTAAATCAAATCGTAGTTGGGTAACGTGATAATTTCATATTAACTTTTATATAGGGTGGGGTTCAAAATTTCATATTGACTATAAGACTATGACTCTCGATTTTCTAGAATCACATGAGACGGTTTGATATGTGAATAGATAAGATTTCATAATGATTACCATATAAAATTTATGTTTGTCGGAGTTCTCTAGATGATTTGATATGGAATATATAAGGTTTCATGACAGTTGGCATATATAATTTATATCTTTCATAATTTTTTTATATTATCATACAGAAACGTTACTAGATAGTTTGATAACATTATAATATGTATTTTGTATATATCTAATTATTAAAAAAAATTATTATCCAAATCAAAAGTTATTGTTTTTACTACTCATAATTTTACTTCTAAAAATACATTTTTCCATAAATATTCAATTATATTAAATTATATAGTGCTGATTATAGTAGTTATAATTGTTTTTAAAACGCGCCAAACGGAAATGGATGTTTTCACCGGGTCAGCCAGCAGTTCATGGGGCCCCATTTACTGGGCAGGATAGATCCATCAACTGCCGTCCACCGCTAGGCCCGATACTGATCACTGATCTGAGAGTCTTTTCAATTTTATTTTTTTTAAAAAAAATAAAATTATATCTTTGACTTTCCACCATGTTTCCCAGGAAGTTTTAAGCTTAGGGTAGCTCTCAAAATCACAGATGTATTCATGTACATATACATATATACTGATATACTGATATACTGATATACATATTCATATCACACAAATACACACACACACACACATATATATATATACACTTCATATTGCACAGTGAATGAGGAAGTTGTTCTAGAAAATGGGTTCTCTGTCCTTTCACGTTTTCTCTATATAAGGATCTGATTGTTCAATTTGTGTTCTTACTGGAGAAGTCTTGATCAGCTTTGGTTATTGATATTATACATATAATTTTTCCATATTTAGGGTTTTTTTTTTTTTGGGTTAATTTCATTAAATTGGGAGTTGGGTGGAGATGGGGGGATGTGTGTCGAGGCCGGAGAGCTGCGTCGGCGGTAGATTTGGAGGTGGGAAGAAGAAGGGTAGGAGGAGAAAGAAAGGCGCCGTCAAGAAACGAGTCTCTTCCCATTTATCTGATCGGTCGTCTGATAGAGTTGACAAGGGTTTTCCTGCGGGTCGATCCCACAACAACCCGACTTTACATGGTATGTATATTTTGGTTTGATTGTTATCATTTGAAGTAGAATCGTTGAGGTTTGATCTGAGTGTTAACGAAGTGGACATAAAAGTTAATAGTCTTTTTCTTGTTTAGATGTTTGTTGTGTTTTATGGACTGGTTTTCTTTAGTATATGGTTCGTGAAGGGGTCTATATTTTCATGTATTAGCATCACAGATTGTTTATTTTTACTACTATAGTAGAATAGAGTATGGGGATTGTGGTTTTCTAATGAAATCTAAGATCATATATGAGGAAGATGAATTGCTGTACTATATTGGCTCTTGAATTAGGAGTATATGTGTATTTGGAATATTTATGGATTACAGGGTAATAGTTTTTGCTGACTTTAAATCTTTAATGCTGTTGAGATTTCAAATATTGCTGGAAATCAGTCCTTCAGAGGCATAAGGAGAATGGTATCCAAGGCTTATGAGTTTTGTATTTTTTTTTTTTGGAGGGGTAATGTTGAGCTTGGTGCCAGTTGTTTAACTGTGTGGATATTAGGTTATATGTTGTCAAGTCATTTTCAACAACTTCAGGAAATCACTTGATAACCTTGTTACTGATTCTTTATATGTTTCTCTAAGATTGTAACTGTCCTTCACTACAGTCATACTTTATTCCTTGTAAGTTAAATTATTTAGAATTGTTGTGTTATCTGGACTAAGGTTTCTTGCATATAATGGGTGATGGCAGGAAGTGTTGAAGAAGCATGGTATGATTCTGCTACGATATTTGAATGTGACTGTAGTGATGAAGAGTTTCAGAGTGTTACTGATGGTAAGTATTTCAGAGATGCAAGTATATATATACATTTTTTGGTGTAAACCACGAAGTGGTCCGGGCCTTTCTTTGTCCGTTTAACGGTCCAGGTCCACCCGATAATCCTTGTTCGTTCCGAGAGGCACAGGAGCTGGTCCAAGGGGAATCGTCACTTGTGGGAATCGAACCCGGGTTATCCCGGAATTCTCCGCCACAAAGAGAGCTCATTTGCCACTTGAGCTACCCTGTTGGATTAGAGATGCAAATATTAATCCTCAGTTTCTACCACTGTAATAGATGACTCATTTTTGGATGTTTCCCTTCTACAGATGTTCACTCTCTCAATGGCTCTGAAGCTGAAAATGCACATAGGCCTGGGAACTCATCTACTAGCCATTCTGCTCGTAGCTCTGTCAGTGGCAATACTAAATCTTTCATCCACCAGCATAGTTCAATGCATTCAAAAGATGCTGATGGATCACAATGTGAGATAAAACCGAATGAAATCTCTTCTTGCGCAACTGAAAGTTGTAGCCGAGGTAATGGCTTGTTGGATGACTGTGGAATCCTTCCACATAACTGTCTTCCCTGTCTTGCTTCTGCTGTTGCTCCTATCGAGAAGAGAAGATCTGTTGATTCCAGTCCTCCAAGTGCAAGGAAGAAAGCTGCATTGAAACTGTCCTTCAAATGGAAAGAGGGACATCCTCATTCCACACTACGTGAGTTTATATATTAATTTGTTCTACTTTTTGATCTGTCACTTTAGCTCAAAATTCGTTTTCTCCGTCATATAAGTTATAAAAGCAACTGCAACTATATGATCGTCTATCAATGAGTCTTGAGCTGGTTAAGGCCAAAGCTGTCTTGCTCATGGGCAATAGGAAATAAGTGTGTTATTTCTGTATTCCTCTATTTCCCACTTATGCTAGTTCTTTGTCATAATTTTGGATAATTTGATCACAAAAATCTAGACTATTGGAGATAAGTAGCAATTAAATAGGTTTAAGGGTTGAAACCCTCTAGCCTCTCTCTATTGAAACGGAGAGTGAAAGAAAGGTACTGATTTCTTATGTATTGCAGTTTCATCCAAGTCACTTCTGCGTAGACCAATAGCTGGTTCCCAAGTTCCATTTTGTCCCTTGGAGAAGAAAATGCCAGACAGTTGGTCTCATATTGAAGCAGGGACTTTTAGAGTTCGAGGAGAGAACTACTTTCGGTTAGTGATTTATACCATCGTGTTTATTCCTAAGAATTGTGCTTATGCAATTTGTTTCCCTTTCTTGATTCTTCTTTCCCTTTTGGATTATGCTTTCTTTGTCAGGGATAAAAAGAAGGATTTTGCTCCAAACTGTGCGGCATATTACCCTTTTGGTGTTGATGTATTTCTATCTCAGAGAAAAATAGATCACGTTGCCAGGCTTGTGGAACTTCCCATTACTGAATCTTCAGGGAGGCTTCCGCACATACTTGTTGTGAATTGTCAGGTACCCTTTGTTTTTTTATAGTCTACTACTCAGGCATGGCCCTAGCATTTTATAGGTCCAGGGCATGACAAAAAAATAGGCCCTACCTAAAGTTAAAATATATTTTCATACCTAAAATTTAAATTACATCAGGGAAAAAAAAAATACTAAAGTCAAATAACTTGAAATAAGATTCACAAGTTTTTAACGATTTTACATACAGAATAATAATCATGAAAAAAAGTCTATGTGCTTTCCTAAATGTAAAATAATCAATAACTGCATCAGTGCCTTCCTAAATAAATAATTATAGTTTATAAAAGCAAATAAACAATTTAAAATCAAATACCTGAGCAAGAGCCTAGCCTGCCCTTGCAATATGTTTTATTACACAATAAAGTACTCCGTATGATGCAATACAGTTTGTGCTGATGACATGCAATTTTAATATTGCAGGTTCCGTTATATCCAACCTCAATTTTTCAGAGTGAAACAGACGGGGAAGGGATAAGTTTTGTTTTTTACTTTAAACTTTCAGAAAGTTATACAAAAGAGCTCCCATCTCATTTTCAGGAGAGTATAAGAGTAAGTTTTAGCTACTATTAATTTCTCTATTCTGCTGTTTTATCCTATCATTTATTTGGCAAAATTTATGTTTTTTTCCCGTGCTTCTAAACTTCCTACTCTTTTTATTCGATTTCACTTGCAAGATTGATTTATTGGCGATCTTTTTTCGGATTTCTTAGTTGTGTTCTTTTCTCCTTTTGCATTAAACTACAGAGGCTAATTGATGATGAAGTGGAAAAAGTGAAGGGTTTTCCTGTAGACAGTATTGTTCCATTTAGGGAACGGTTGAAGATTTTAGGTCGGGTAGCAAATGTGGATGATCTGCCGTTAAGTGCAGCAGAGAGGAAGCTTATGCATGCTTACAATGAAAAGCCTGTTCTTTCACGTCCTCAACATGAGTTTTATACGGTAAGTCTAAAGCCTAATTTTGTTTATTTAGCATCAAGTTTTATAGCCAAATGGTTTTTGATAGCAAGGCATATAAAATTATTTTGCAGGGAGAAAATTATTTTGAGATTGATTTAGATATGCACAGATTCAGTTACATCTCCCGGAAGGGTTTCGAAGCATTTTTTGATAGATTAAAGCACTTCAACTTAGATTTTGGCCTCACAATTCAGGCAAGTAATGTCCATAGAAAGTGTTATTTCAGCTTGACGATCTTCTAACATTTTTTTTTTTTTTAATGCAAATCAGGGTAACAAATCTGAAGAAATGCCAGAGCAGATCTTATGTTGTTTACGTTTAAATGAAATTGATTATGCTAATTATCAGCAACTGGGATTGAATCAAGATCCCTTTGAGTAGGCGCACAAAATTGTGTAGACTCCAGAGATAATTGCAATAAAAGAAATTTCTTTATTTGTTTATTTTTGCCTTTGGTTGAAAGCTTCTTTCTTTATGAATTATGATGCCATAAAACAGGTGAAAACACTATACTCAGTGACCAGTGAGATGTTTGTGTGCCTGCAAAAACCTTAAATGTTAAGAAAATCTAGGCAGTTCTAACAAGTTGGATACTTAAACTTGAAACATCATCAGGTATCTTTTCAGAATATGTCTATTTCAAGGAATGTTGAATAGCAAAAAAAGCCAATTATGAAAGGCTACAGGGGGGAAGAGGAAACCCACATAAGTGTTTGTTTCCCGAGAAAGCACTGCTGGGAAAATCACTAAATGGTTTTCCAGAAGGGATTTTCCCTTCAAGATGATTATTAGACATGTTCAGATCTTTCAAGTTTCTCAGCTGCAAAAATTCTTCTGGGATGGTGCCTTGAAACTGATTTTCCTGGAGATTCAGAGTCTCCAAGGTGGTTATGTTTCCCATTGATACCGGCAAGTTATACCCGATCTTATTGTAACTCAAATCCAACTTATTCAGTGATTTCAGTTCTCCAATGGAAGTTGGCAATCTCCCTTGAAGGATGTTTCTTGATAAATTAATATGTTTAATACTTTGCTGCTCTCCTTTGCCTAATTGCTCAACACCAGTACTGAACATGTTGTCTGACAGATCAATATAGGTCAATATTCCATCACCAAATCTGCTTTTCATCTGAAGAATCTGCTCTATACTCCCTGTTAACTTGTTCGAGTGAAGATCCAGTACTCCCATGATTTCGAGCCTTGAGAAAGTACTTGGAACTTTATGGACTAGATTGTTTGCAGACAGGTTTAACAAGTAGAGCTGGTCAAAGCTCCCTAGCCATTCCGGGATTCTTCCGGTGAGATGGTTGGATGACAAATCCAGCTCTATGAGTTTGGTATGTTTTGATTGAAGATAATCTGGGATTTTTCCCTGGATTCCACATCCACCCAAGTAAAGATGAGTCAGTGATGGCAATTTTTCGATCCACTCGGGGATGACTGAAAGATTGAATCTGTTGAATGATAGATTGAGGATTTTAAGATTTTCAAGTGAAACCATTTCTTGAGGCAATGGACCAAGAATCTGGTTCTGGGTAACTGAGAGGACTTGGAGATGGGAGAGATTGGCTATGGATGAAGGTATGTGACCGGATAGTTGGTTTCCGTCGAGATAAAGCTCTGTCAGGGATTGCATATCCCCTATAGTTGCAGGGAGAGGACCTTGGAGCTGATTGTTTGAAAAAGAGACTCTTTGGAGGGAACTCAAATAGGCAATGGATGGAGGAATTCCCCCGGTGAGGCGATTATCTTGGAGTCTCAGAAACCCCAGTGAAGAGAGCTCACCAGATTTTGAAGGAAATGGTATGTCTCCTTCGAGATGGTTATCATCCAGATACATAACTGAAATGGAGGTGAGATTCGTGATCGACCCCGGGATTTTCCCACTCAAAGAATTGCTCGATAAATCAAGCTGTTTCAGTGCTTGCAGGTTGCCAATGGCTGCTGGGATATTCCCCGACAATGAATTGTCGTAAAGACGGAGGATCTCCAGGCTGCTCAGTTCCGTGAAGGAGTCAGGTATAATCCCGGAAAAGTTATTAGAATGACAATCCAGGATTCTCAGACTTGTGAGACTCCCCAGACTTGGAGGAAGAAACCCGGAAAAATTGTTCTCGTATAGATCGAGTTCTTCGAGTTTGGTCATCTTACCTAAGCTCTCTGGTAATGAACCACTGAAGCTATTACCAGAGAGCCTGAGGATTCTGAGATTGTGGAGACGAAAACCAATAGCCGATGGAATCTGCCCTGTCAGGCCTCCCTGCCCACTAATGTCAAGCACTTCAAGAGAGGCAAGAAGAGCAACGGATTCAGGGAACAACCCATCCATTCTCGCCTGGAAAGGAGCTCCCCCGGAAGTATACAAGCCCGGGAGATTGATCTCGACCACCCTCCCGGTTTCATTGTTGCACGAAATGCCTTCCCATTCGCAGCAGCCTTGGCCTAACCACTTCTCCGTTCGCCCAGAGTAATCGGAATGAATCTCCGCCTTCATCCCTAGGAGACCCTTGAGATCAGCTGGGTTGCAAAACGACCCGCCATTGATTCTCTCACATGAAAGAAGAAGAAGAAACGCCGTCGCCAGAACACCTAAGGCTTGAAAGGCCATTCTTTTCTGCAGGTAGATAAGTCTTTGGATTCCTTTGGTTTTGTAATAAGATTGCCAGTCAGTGAAAGTGGAGTATGATTAAGAAGAGAGAAGCAGGAGTGATTTATGGGGGATTGAGGGTCGGAACTCGGACTTATAAAGACAGATTTTCCTTATTTATTTCTTTATTACTCCGTATTACGGAGTTTTTTTTAAGGTGTGAATTGATGAAAAAGTAAATATGTGTTTGAATTACAACGCGTTTGATGCCTTTACGGTTACATATCATTAAATTACACCTTCCATTCATTAAAAAAAAAAAAAAAAAAAGTTTACATGGCTTAACTCATTGGTTCAGAAGGAGGCAGTATTTAAGAAAAGAGATTAAGGTTCAAATCTCGACAGTCACAATGTGAAGATTATGCTCAAAGTGAATAGATTCTTTGTGTGCACCAACATTGTCTGAATAGGGTCCTGATCGCAAATTTGCGACCTTCCTTGTAAAAAGCAATAATAATATCATCGACTACCATAATTATGTCAACTTTGTGACCTTCTTTATAAAAAGTAATAATAATATCATTAGATCACAAAGTGATTGACTACCAAAATGGTTATTAAAATGGAAATTGAATAATATCATCAGATTACAAGGTGGTTGACTACAAAAAAAGGTTATTAAAATGGAAATTATTGCGCACACGGCTTAACTCACTGGTTCAGTAGGCATTATTTAGAAAAAGAAGTTAAGATTCAGACCTCGGTAGCAACAGTGTGAGTTTATACTCAAAATGGGCAAATCTTTTGTGCATACCTATATTTGGTCATGTCTACTGAACTATTGAATTACTTTAATTTATATCTCTTAAATATTTTGTCGGGGTCGAATATGAGGGACGTTGGGATTGGGATTCAACCTTGTTGGGAGAAGAAAATTGGAAATTGCTAGCATCTCCAATGAAGTAATGATAATCCGTTACCTGTCCTTTGCTGATTGGATAAAATATTAGAAAAAGAAGAAGGAATAAAGTGGATCGCTGGTTATTAATGATTTGTTGCCAAATAAAAAAATGAAATAAAATAAAAGTGTATCAAGTAAAATTTATAAAAAAAATTAAAAAATAAGATTACCTCAATTATTTTCGAGTTATAAATGTGATCTTTGTCTTTCAATTATTTTAAATCTAATCCTTTAATTATTGACCTAATTACAAATTTAACTCATATCTTTCAGTTATTATAAATATAATCCTTTCTTAGATATCTAGCCCATCATTTAAAGTACTAATTTTGTGAATTGGTTAACATTTAAAAGGACTAAAATTATAACAATGGAAAGATATTAACTAAATTTACGACTAGGTGACACTTGAACTACTATATACACAATAGTTGAAAGACATACACTACATTTATAACTATGAGTTTTTTCCACTTTTGGTCCCTTGACTTTACTTGTGCTGACAAATGTGATTCATGACTTTTATTTCAGACAAAATTAGTGCCTAACTTCAATTTCTTTTCCACATTTAGTCCCATCCGACCAAGAATCCGGCCAACCCACCGGAAATTTGCACATCTCTTGTTTTTCTAAGGGTAAATTAGTCTCTTCTTGCCCTTGTAAAATAATACGTAGTAAAAACTAAGAAATATTTAATTGCTTCATTCTCGTCAAATTAAAGTTGCTTCCTATTATTATTTATTTATACCTCCATCCTCATCCTATAAATCAATGTCACTGTCAGTTTCTTCCCGAAGCTTCTCTGCTAACTGATATTTGCGTCTGCTTGACGGAGGTGATAGAAAAAAGCTTTGTTCGGTGGAGTAGAGTCATCGCGAGAAGCCATAGAGGGCTCTCTGAAATGTATACGATCTTCATGCTCCTGATCATCGACGGCGAGATTGTTGAAGAAGAAGGCGAGTGGGAGAAAAAAAAGATAATTTTCAAACAGAAAACCAGGATCGTTGCTGCAAACTCTCTCCAGATTGTCTGCTAAATGTATGTATAATGTAATTTTGTAGATATAGTATAAATTTGCATGTAGATTTGAGAAGTTTATAGTGTAGGTTTACGGGATATATATTTGATTCATGGAATTTATCAGAGGATTCTGATTTTGTGTTTGATTTTTGAATACACTGTGCTCTTATGCAGTGCGTAAATTTCGGAAGAGCGGTTTGGATTTGGAATTCACCAAGAATGGCTGCGAAGACAATGATGATGAGGAAGGAGGCGACAGCGTAGGGAAACGGAGCGGCGGCGACAGTGACGTCGGCGAAGATGAACGAAGTGATGTTGTTCGCGTAATGCGAGTGCTGCGGACTGACGGAAGAGTGCACAGAGGCGTACGTAGCGAAGGTCCGAGAGCGGAACCAAGGGCGGTGGATATGCGGGTTGTGCGCGAGGTCGGAGCAGCATATTAGCAGTGAAGAGGCTCTGAACCTGCAAAAAGTTCAAAGCTCAGAGGCCGCCGCCGAGCAAAGACAACAATGAAGCAATTAAATATATCTTAGTTTTTATTATTTTACATGGCAAGAAAATATTAATTTACCCTTAGAAAAACAAGAGATGTGTAAATTTCCGGTGGGTTGGCTGGATTCTTGGTCGGATGGGACCAAATATGGAAATGAAATTGAAGTTAGGCACTAATTTTGTCTGAAATAAAAGTCATGAATCACATTTGTCAGCACAAGTAAAGTCAAGGGACCAAAAGTGGAAAAAACTCTTATAACTATTAAACAATTGAGAGACAAAAATGTAATTTTTTATGTAAAAAAATATTATTTGGTTAATTCAAAAGATGGCAGAACCTAACTAGTAGATATGACAGCGATTTGGTTATGGTTCCACACTATCGGTTCACGACTCCTAAAAATGATAAACCGGAATCAGAACTTTTTAAGAAGGTTCCAATTCTAGTTCCGAGAATTGTCGGTTCAAACTTTTTTTTTTTTTTTTTTTGTAAATTTTTTTTTAAATTTTAAAATAGCCCAAATTCAATAATAATTATTTTTTTTTCCAGTTCGAAACCAACAATCCCGATTCCTGATTTTATAAATCAAAATCGGAATCTTTTGGATTTAGTTTTGAATCGTAACCGAAACCATTCCTATTATTTCAGTTTTGATTCAATTGCTACATTGTTTGATTAAGTTCAAACTAATCTATTTGAACCGAACTATGGTAATCCTACTAACTAGCCATACTTCCCAATAGAGCCCTCAGATAATTAAACTAATCCTTTGCATTTTGCAATACGAAATGGAGAAAAAAAAAAACACGATTCCAGAAGTTGTATTGTTTCTATGCAGAGCTGTTACCGGACCACCAATTAATAAGACGACAGAAACCTATGGCCGTTTGGGTTTTCTTTATGCTTTATTTTTTGTTTTGAACAAAAGTCAAAGTATAAACAGGTTTAGTTATTAATAGCAATGATATTCAGTAAAAAGTTGGGACGGTGGGGTTGTGTAATTAATTAGGTTTGAACGAAGAACCAACATATTTATTTTATTAAAATTTGTAATTTAAATTAAACAATTTAATTAATGCATTGGTACTCTAAATATGATTTTTATTTTATTAAAAATTGTAAGTGTTGTGATAGATTAATTGTGCTCGGACAATATTATTATTCTTTCTCCTAAAAAGTTGAATTCTCAATCTCAATCTTAATGAGTCTTCACGAAATTTTATTCCTGATCAGTATTACATTTGAACATATAAGTATGATATTTGCATGTTGATTCGACCCGTCTCACGAATAAGAATCCGTGAGATGGTCTCACACAAATTTGAAAACAAAATAAAAAGATTCTCTCAAAAAAGATTAAATCCCCAACTAGAGCTGTCAATGTGGGTTGGCGGGGCGGGGCTCGCCAAAGCCCGCCTTTTGGCGGGGCGGGCTAAAAAGCCCGTTTCAAAACGGGCCTAGGTAGTCGTAACCCGCCTCACCCCCTTAGGCCTGCGGGCCCCTGCCAAAACCCGCCAGTTTTTTTTTTCTTTTAAATATTTATTTACCATGTGTCCCTAAAGTCTAAATTCTAATGTGTCTATGTTAATAACTTAATTGTTATCTACTTAAAACACTTATCCATCACTTACGTAATAAATCTAAAATCAACTACTCAAATATTGAAATATATTATAAGTTTATAATATACATTATATATACTTGTAAAAACTTCACAAATCATTAAAAATAAGTAAATAACACAAATTAGTTCATCACATCATGACAACAATGATACCACAGTCCATTCGTCTAAATAGTCAATACACCATACTGCATAAGTTCATAAACCAAACATTCAAAGTTCAAACTCCACAAAAGTAAAAAACATAACTAATTATGTACATAAGTTCATATTTTGTAAACATAACTAAAATTTAGTCAAATAATTACAATACACCAAAATATCAACTAACTAAAATATAATCAAATATTTCATTATTTTGTAAACAAACATAATAACTTACCAATAGCATTATTTAGTTTCAATTTTATTTTACTTTAGGATTAGAAATTTAGGAATTTAGGATTTAGACTTAAAAAAAAAAAAAGCCTGGCGGGCTACCCGCCAGCCCGCCCTGCCTAGCACGCGGGGGCGGGCAAAAAAGCCCGTTTTAAAAATGGGCTTTTAAAACACGAGCCCGCCCCACCCTTTTGGCGGGGCGGGGCGAGAAAGCCCGGCAAGCTAAGTCCATTTTGACGGCTCTATCCCCAACCTCAAGGATCACACACACACTTTAGCCTGATAGAGAATTTAGAAGGATGTAAATTACTGTGACTCAATAGTTCAGTAGATTGGACCAAATGTCGGTGCAAAGAATCTGTCCACTGTGAACATAATTTTCACATGACTACTGTCGTTGAAATTCGAACCTTAGTCTCTTATCTTAAATATTGCATACTGAAACATTGAGCTAAACCCGTGACAACAACAAAATAAAAATGTATTCAAACTGAGAAAGAGCAGACAAAAACAGAACAGCAGACGAGGAGATCTCTTACCGCATTGTATATATGCCCAGACACAATATGCAGGTTTCCAACTTTTGCAGACATGTTTTGCATTAATATGTGTGTGAACCTTTAATTTGACACTTCCATGTTCTTAGATTCACACTGACAGCTTCCATGTTCCCAGATATTGGTCAGTTAATTTGAGCCCCTTTGAGGCACTCTTTTTAATTCTTTATGTTATCCAGCCTGGGACAAATATTTGTTTAGTTCTCTTTTCTTGTGGAAATTTCAAGAAAGCTAGGATAACAAACACTATTATTATATTACTTAAGCTTCTAAAATAAATGTTTCTTGCATGTAAAAACCCGAGATAGATCACCAATTTTTCTTTTACTTGGAGGCATATGAGTATAGAAAAGTTTAGGTGAGTGACAACTACTCTAATTTATTAATTAGGGTTAGATGATACCATTAACTTATTACAATTTGCAAGTCATGTTATTGTTAGAAAATTTGCATTATATTTGTCATCAAACATTCAAATTGGTCGGAAGTTAGGGGAAATTGAAATTTTCTAGCCGATCCGAAGCACTCCTTTTCGAAAAAACTGGAATTAGATCTTGAAAATGATGTAGAGAGGTGATCGGTAATTAAGGGTGTCAATATGGACCGGCCCGCCCCACCACAGGTTTTTTTTTAGGCGGACTTTTGCAGGTCGGCCCGCGAAACCCATAGGCTAGAAAATACAAAGCCCAAGCCGCCCCGGCAAATTATGTTGTGCATCCGTATGCACCATGCATGGTGCATACGGATGCAAAAACAACGTCATTTTAATAAAACGCGCGTCTCTCCTTAAAAAAAAATAAAAAATCAGGTTCGATTCCCAGCAACAACATATGAACTAAAATTCCATAATCGATGAACTATAATTCCATAATCGATGAACTATAATTCCATAATCGATGAACTATAATTCCATAATCTAATCTATGAACTAAAAATTCCAGAATGAATGAACTAACATTCCATAATCTATAAACTAAAATTTCAGAATCGATGAACTATAATTCCATAATCAATGAACTATAATTCCATAATCTATGAACTAAAATTCCAGAATGAATGAACAATATAATGTTGTTGCTGGGAATCGAACCTGAATTTTTTTTAAAAGGGAGACACGCATTTTTTAATAAAACGACGTCGTTTTGGCATCCGTATGCACCATGCATGGTGCATACGGATGCACATCATAACGATTGAGCCGCCCCATGCAATCTCGCGGACCAGCTCACGAGCTTAATTTTAAAAATAAAAAAAATATTATTTTATATTCATTATTCAAATAATATTAAATTTTTTCGTGTTTAAAAATTTAAAAAATTACATTTTTAAAATTATATATATATATATATATATATATATATATATAAAATTTATGAAAAGCCGCGGGCCAACCTGCATAGGCGGGTCAAAAAATTCTAGGCCCTAACCTGTCGTACCGTGAGGTTGGTCCGCGGACTTCCGCCCACCTTGACACCCCTATTGGTAATGTATTGGCTGATATTTCTTTCTAATGGCTTAAGTTGGACAGAATTTTTGACCGGACGGAAATTTTGGCTCTGATTAGATAATTTCACATTAACATGGATATGTGATTGCTTAGAAGCTCGCAATACTTTAGAGTTCGAAGAGTAGAGTATGAGATTTTGAGTAATGTAATCTGAATTTTAGTGTCTTAAAAAATATAATATTTATTTGAAATGTCATGTGATAACAAGAATAAGGGCCATAAAATATATATATCATAACACATGGTGACATGAACATGACATCTTGCATGGGGTTGGATTTAGAGTTATCAATACGGGTCAACCTATCTCATACAATCATTATATCATGTATCACGGTACACATAGCAATGTGTGTTCTGTATGTGTCTCCCAAAACGACGTTGTTTTGTTAAGTTGTGTGGAGAGTTGACGGGATAGAGTGTATGTGTATTCTGTTATATAATTATGTACATTATGTTATACAATTATGTACATCTGAAACATGGAATTTTTTTTTAAGAATTAAAAGTTTATGTGTATTATGTTAAGAGTTTATGTGTATTATGTATTACGTTAGATTATGTGTATTATCTTTTCAAAAAAGATTATGTGTATTTTGTTATACAATTATGTACATTCTGTTATACAATTATGTACATTTTTGAAACATGAGATTTTTTTAAGAAGTTAACAGCCGACACGGAAAGCGAAATTTCAAAAAAAAAAAAAAGTACAAAACGACGTCGTTTTGCACCAGGGCGCACAATGCAATGGGCAAATTATATCGTGCACCGAGCTTCAAAACGACGTCGTTTTGTTTAATGAAAAGAAACGGCACCCGTTTCGCGACATTCCACAAAAAGTAACTCTGTTATTCAGTTTCATTTTGTATACACTACGGTTTCAGTTCAACACAACTACAGTTTCATTTCGATATAACTACAGTTTCATTCGATATTTATAC